TCTGATTTTCTAAAATATGATTGGTTGTACTAGTGGAAAGATCAACGTCAAATTTTCGATGAAAGGCATGCTTTCTCCTCAGTGAAATTCATTCATGTATAGTTGAGTGTGTAAATAAAGCATCGAATTAAGAAAGTATGCTACGCCCCATTTCGCGCGAACGTATAACGCTGAAGCACGATGTGATGACTTGCCGATGTGAAACCTCGATCACTTTCGGATGAAGCTTCAGACCCAGGATGCTGTTGATTGATCAATTTAACAAATGGAAATACATGGTTTCTCCTCTATCTCCAAGTGTCATGGCAACAGGCCTGCCACCTGCTGAAATATTGACTCGCACTCGAAACAACGGTTTTATCCTAAGGGCGCTGAACTACACTGAACAACAACAACGACAAAAACAACAAGGTTTATTTGAACCGTATGTTACCTTAACTACAACTTACACAAGAAATAAATTAAAATACTTACAGTTGCTGGTCGCCCAAAATAATTAAAGAGCTGAACCTAACTGTGCTGCCTGTTTTAGCATCAACTTATCCTCGTAAACTGTTTTGTAAGATTCATTTAGTAATTTTTTTTCAGTTTTAATTCACGACCTGGTGAATTAAAAGGGTGCACCTGGTGAATTAAAAGGGCGACCTGGTGAATTAAAAGGGCGCACTTACCTACTAGGGAACCAATAAACGTTAAGTCAATCTTGACAAGTATGAAGTATTTACACTTATTATCCAACTACACTCGGTAGAGTGGAAATAACGCCATAGACGAGTACAAATATCACACGGTATTTGTACTCCAGAGAACCGGCTAGACAGGTTTTCTCGCATCGCGCAAGCGAAGAATTGGATTGAAGTTACAAAAAAGAAAAAATGACGGACAATTTGAATCATATTTCTGACAACGAGGAGTCGTAAATACAAGTTTATTAGATAAATCGAACGAGGAAAAATATTTAGACGACCAGGAAATTTCTTCATTTAATGAAGAAAATAGAAACAGCAACACCACAACGCGCCAATTTCTTTCCGCTTCGCATACTTCTGTCACGCACTCCTCGTAAATAAATGTCCGCGGAATTCGCCCGCAGTGAAATAACAATTTGACGTGTTAGATAATAAATAACTTATTAAACGTTTTGTTGTGTAGTATCACTGGTAGTTTTTTACTCGTCATTTGTATTTTGACGAGCCCTACGGGCACAACTCGTAAAAATACTCAGCGATACTACACAACAAAACGTCTAATACGAAAACAAAACGTCTAATATTTATTTGTCGACGTCATTTTGTTTTTAAGTTCCCGTTTCAGTGTTTTTCAAGCATTTCATTTTATACTTCTGATATACAAGAGAGCAGGTTTAAAAACTTTGACAATATTTTTTAAACAAGTCTCCTACATGTAAATTAGAAATTGGACGAGACAGTACTGACCAGTAGCATTTATTTCAAAATCCAGGTTTGCTGAGCAATCAGAAGGCAAATTTATGACGCATATTCAAATGCATTTACAGAACGGCTGACAAAACAGACAAAGAAACCTTGAATTCGTTCTTTTTTAGTTTTGTACTACCATTAGTTTCTTTCAATAGTGATGATGACAGTAATCTCTAATGAAATTCCTTCCGAAAAGTGAGTCTCATGAACGATAATTTACGCCATTTCGTGTAAATATTCAGAATGCGCATACGTTGCAGTATGTTGATAGCATTAAAGCTTTAGTACTTTTGGGTGTGAGTTAAAACATTGTGATGTTTCCTAAAACTAGGCCTTGTTCTCTATTTAGCTCGAGGAAAATAACTCTTTTCTCACGTATTTTTTCTTTATTTTCCTCAGTTACGATCAACCCCGCCACCTATTGAGATATTACCCAGAAGGCACCCTAAACCGCCTCAGACCGTAATGGCACAAACACTGCTATCGCAGGGACGTATTCAAGAAATTTTGGTGGCTAGTTCTAAACACTTATTTAGGAAACACATTTTTTTTTTCTTTTACACCATAACCAAAATAAGATAAGAAATATTTTCAGACAAGTTAATTAATACTCAATATTGAGGAGATGACTTGCGATCTCAAGTCTTATGGAGGAGAGGGAAGGGGAGTCTGGATCCCCGGACACCCCCTCGGGATCCGCCACCGTAAAGATCTCATGTACGTTGGAGGCTTAAAAGATTAATTTATTTGATTATGATAAAAAAGTAATTAGGTGGGTCCTTTATTAAAGTGAGTTGCACCTTAAACTCGCTTTCCAAATGATCGTCAGCATTTTGAAGCAGATGATTCTCTTATCGCGGATCTTAGTGATCACATCAGGCGAATAGAAAACATGTAAATCATTGCATCCATGCCCTTACGTAATTGGAAGCTTAATTTTGACGAATTTAAAGTGAAATTATTTGCTCTTTTGGCTGTCTATGATTCGTGTATAATCTCAAATATATGTAAATATTGCAAGGTGTACCGAATGACAAAAAAAATACAAATTCTTCAATATATCTAAATGATAATAAGGCACATTCTAGTCTTAATTTAACTTTCGTAACGGTCATTTTCCTCTCAAAAAATGCATCACTGCACTCCATGAGTTTTGTAAGTTGACTGACTGTTGTGACAGCTGCTAACTAAATGGATTTTAAAACGAAACCTGATCCTGATCTCCTTACTACTACCTTGGGTAACGAAACAAAAAGCTCGTCCTATTTGAAAAGTGGTTTAGGTTATGGTTTTATCCTCTAGCTATCTATATTGCGTGTGCAATATCAACAGTATATTAATACGGCAACTCAAACTGAGTTTCAAGAAAAGCAAGATGTTCAACTCATCTAAATGATAATTAGGTACTTTGTAGTTCTGATTTTCTAAAATATGATTGGTTTGCCGAAAAGTGCATGGGCTCTGTAAAGCAATTAATTAAAAAGATATGTGTTATAGCGGAAGATTTTCTTTTCCTTCTAAGTCACATGTCTACTGTTCCTTTTTAGTTCAAGTATGTTAGAAGAAGATCTCTCTACAGTGCGAACTTCAAGCCTGATCAACTGCATTCTGAACGTCATTTGTTCATTTCCAGCAACATTTGGAAACGTAATCATTTTGTTCGTTATTTGGCGGACGCCAGCTCTACATTCGCCTTCACACACCTTGTTGTTTGGTCTTGCACTGACTGACTTCCTCGTTGGTTTAGTGACTCAGCCGTTAAATGTCGCCTCCTCTGTCATTTTCCTTGTCGAAAAGGAAGAAGGTCCAATCGCTCTTACATTAGCGTTTGATTTTATTTCTGCTGTATTGACTGCGGCATCTTTTATGATAGCAACTGCTATAAGTATCGATAGGTACCTGGTATTTTACCTGCATATGAGATATCAAGCTATCGTCACCAACAAAAAAGTCGTGGCGATCGTCGTTTTATGTTGGTGTTTATCCTGTTTATTTGGGGTCATTTGGACCCANGTTGGATAATAAATCTCTTATTAGATGTTTTGTTGTAGTATCGCTGAGTATTATTACGAGTTGTGCCGTATTTTGACGAGCCCGTAGGGCTCGTCAAAATACGGCACAACTCGGAATAATACTCAGCGATACTACACAATAAAACGTCTAATAAGATATTTATATTGCAAGGTGTACCGAATGGCAAAAAAAAAAATACAAATTTTTCATTCATCTATATGATAATAAGGCACATTCTAGTTTTAATTTAACTTTCGTAACGGTCATTTTCTTCTCAAAAAATGCATCACTGCACTCCATGAGTTTTGTAAGTTGACTGTCTGTGGTGACGGCTGCTAACTAAATGGATTTTAAAACGAAACCTGATCCATTCTCCTTAAACTACTACCTTTGGTAACGAAACAAAAAGCTCGTCCTATTTGAAAAGTGGTTTGGGTTATGGTTTTATCCTCTAGCTATCTATATTGCGTGTACAATATCAAGCGTACATTAATACGGCAACTCAAACTGGGTTTCAAGAAAAGCAAGATGTTCAACTCATCTAAATGATAATTAGGTACTTTGTAGTTCTAATTTTCTAAAATATGATTGGTTTGTCGAAAAAAGAATGGGCTCCGTAAAGCAATTATTTAAAAAAGGATGTGTTATAGCGGAAGATTTTCTTTTTCTTCTAAGCCACATGTGTACTGTTCCTTTTTAGTTCAAGTATGTTAGAAGAGGATTTCTCTTCAGTGCGAACTTCAAGCCTGATCATCTGTATTCTGAATGCCATTTGTTTCTTTCCAGCAGCGCTAGGAAACGGAATCATACTGATCGCTATTCGGCGGACGCCATCTCTACATTCGCCTTCGAACACGTTCTTGTTTGGTCTTGCACTGACTGACTTCCTCGTTGGTTTAGTGACTCAGCCGTTAAATGTCGCCTCCTCTGTCATTTTCCTTGTCGAAAAGGAAGAAGGTCCAATCGCTCTTACATTAACGTTTGATTTTATTTCTGTTGTATTTTACCTGCATATGAGATATCAAGCTATCGTCACCAACAAAAAAGTCGTGGCGATCGTCGTTTTATGTTGGTGTCTATCCTGTTTATTTGGGGTTATTTGGACCCAGAATACTACAGCCTATTATGTCATTGGAATAGCAAGCGTCGTTATCTCCATTGTTATTGTTTCTCTGATGTACTTTAAAATCTATCGAGTTGTGAGACGTCACCAGGCCCAAATACAATCTCAAGCTCTTGTTGGAATCGCCGCAAAGGAAGCTTCATCGCATTTGCAGTTCGCACGTCTCACTAAGTCTGATGTGAATACGTTTTACGTTTGCTTCATTCTCTTTCTTTGCTTTTTTCCATACGTTTTTACAGCTGGCTTAATTCAAATGACAGGTCCAAGCCTCATCAAACGTATTGTACTGCAATACACAGGAACCATAGCGTTTATAAACTCGTCGCCGAACCCATTAGTTTACTTTTGGCGGCTTCCTGAAATCCGAAAGGCTATAAAGAGATCTTTACGGTGTTGCTACAGCAGACGTGTAGGCGAGCGACAAGAAAGTAAATGGAGGAGTGAAAAAGCTTCTAACACATAGAGAATTCTGCCATCTCTGATATTGAACTAGAGCTCCTCCATCATGATTGTCCGAATGCGCCGAGTTTTTTTTCTTTAAGGCTCAATAATGTGGCTGGTAGACCTTATACGAAAGATCAGCTTCTTTCACGATATTTCAGTGACCAGCAACTGAGTTTGTCGTATAGTGAATGTTTCATTTCTTCTTCTAAAACCTTAGACCATGGAGGAAACATGCAAGATACAGGAAGGAGGTAACGCTATGTTAGCCAAATAGATCTTCCATCATCTATAATAGATCTTCCGTCATAAGTCTAGGTTTATTTACAGCTAATTTATTCAAACACAATTAGATTTCCGCCGACAACTTTCACTTTCTGTCGCCTTATCAGCCAAATATGTAATCGCGAAAGTTCTGCTCACAATATTCTACTACATCCTGTACCATTTTAG